GATAGATAGATAGATAGATAGATAGATAGATAGATAGATAGATAGATAGATAGATAGATAGATAGATAGATAGATAGATAGATAGATAGATAGATAGATAGATAGATAGATAGATAGATAGATAGATAAATTGATAGGTGTACAAAACCTTATATACACAACTTGGAATGTCGATTGACCAATTCCTCCTCCCAACCTCTCTGCTGAGATGGCCTTACATTCCCTTATGGGCTCTATAAATTTTACTTAGGCAGCCTTTCTTCACACTGAAGGCGCATTTTTTGAACTTTATGGGTTCCATCTTCAAAAAATATATCGAAGACATCATGACGACAAAGATTCTTTGAAAGCAGAAAACCTGCTGAATTATTTTAAAAATCAAATCTAACCACTTTTAGTGCACGGTTTGATATTATCCCATCAATACCTAAAAACCCCATTCAATTAAAAATTAGTTTATTTTGTTGTTTTTGTAAAACTTTATTTAAGAAAATTTTCTTGTTTCCATTAATAATACATTTTAAAAATAAAAAAAAATTAAACTATAATTATAATGGTATTTTAATAATAATAAAAATATTTCATAAACAAAATACTTAATAAAGACTTTATATTCTTTTGAAATAGTAAGTAATTCTTAAAAAATTTTACAAAAAAAAAAATAAAATAAAATTCATTAAAAAAAATCAAAATGCAGAGCCGAAAACATGAAAGTTTAACACTTTTATTTAGTATTTTGTCTTTTATCATCTAAATATAAAGTATTATAATAAATTGATTAAAAATATATTTTAAAATTAATTATATTGCTTAAAAAGCTCAAAATATGGTGTGATATTTCTTTAAAATGTTTATCTTGTTCCAATATTTTGATTAGTTTTTTTTTTCGAATAAACATTTTCAATGTTTAAAGAGAAAATAAAGGAAAATTATGGATAAACAAACAAGTTTTTTTTTTGCTAAAAATTTTAACAAAATATATTTTGAAAAGATTAAAGCACTGTGGCACTCGCAGGTTCCAATAAGTATTTGGATTTATTTGAATTCTTTTGCACAGTGTATAACCTTGGTGTTTTAAAATTACACTTATTTTGTTTTGTAATAATTGTATTTTTTCTTGCAATAAAATTCAATTTAAGTCTATTTTAACAGTCATACTAAACAATTGTTTGTTTTTAACATAATTTTAAACAAATTATTGTTCATTTGTTTTTTGCAACCAATTTATTTTGCTATTTTTCTACATTTTCTTTTTATTACTTTCATTTAGCAAAAAATGTGTAATTCCTTTTTAAATTATTTTTATTTTATAAAATTTCTAAAATATAATTTATAAAAAAATAAACAAAGCCTTAAAATTATATAAGTTTTTTGTAATAATAATCTTTATATATTTTTTCGATAACAACTACTATCTTTTTTATTTTCAAGTAACAAGTTACTTCTTTTTTGAATTTTTATTTTTCCATATTTTTTTGTAATATTTTTTTATATTTTTTAAAGTTTTTTCTTAAAATCTACAAAATATATAGTATTTCTTTATTGTATAGTATATATTTTAATAATTTATATCTTTGTAATTCTTTTAATATGAATGTTTGGTTTTCAATAGTTCATTTTTTTTTTTTTTTGGTTTTCTTTAGAATATTTGTGTCAAAAACTATTTTATAGCTTTACAACGATATATAAATTAATCCAATTGTTTTTAGTACATCCTGTTTTGGTATTACCCCAATTGCCTTTTTACATTGTTCTGCAAAAGTCTCCATATCTCATTAGAGTTGTTGTGTTTTTGAGCATATTTCTGGTCTGAAGTTTTTGTTGATGTTTTTGCGTTTTTGTTTAATCGAACATGGCCATTGTAGAGGTGGGCACAACTTCCAATAACAATGGGAAGAATAGAGTAACTTGGTCTGAAAGTAGAGGGCGAGATTAGTAAGGCTTACTTTCTAGCGAGCGAGCGAGCGAGCGAGCGAGCGAGCAGCGAGCGAGCGAGCGAGCGAGCGAGCGAGCGAGCGAGCGAGCGAGCGAGCGAGCGAGCGAGCGACGAGCGAGCGAGCGAGCGAGCGAGCGAGCGAGCGAGCGAGCGAGCGAGCGAGCGAGCGAGCGAGCGAGCGAGCGAGCAGCGAGCGAGAGAGCGAGCGAGCGAGCGAGCGAGCGAGCGAGCGAGCGAGCGAGCGAGCGAGAGAGCGAGCGAGCGAGCGAGCGAGCGAGCGAGCGAGCGAGCGAGCGAGCGAGCGAGAGCGAGAGCGAGCGAGCGAGCGAGCGAGCGAGCGAGCGAGCGAGCGAGCGAGCGAGCGAGAGAGCGAGCGAGCGAGCGAGCGAGCGCGAGCGAGCGAGCGAGCGAGCGAGAGAGCGAGCGAGCGAGCGAGCGAGCGAGCGAGCGAGCGAGCGAGCGAGCGAGCGAGCGAGCGAGCGAGCGAGCGAGGAGCGAGCGAGCGAGCGAGCGAGCGAGGAGAGCGAGAGCGAGCGAGCGAGCGAGCGAGCGAGCGAGCGAGCGAGCGAGCGAGCGAGCGGAGCGAGCGAGCGAGCGAGCGAGCGAGCGAGCGAGCGAGCGAGCGAGCGAGCGAGCGAGCGAGAGAGCGAGCGAGACAGCGAGCGAGCGAGAGCGAGCGAGCGCGAGCGAGCGAGCGAGCGAGCGAGCGAGCGAGCGAGCGAGCGAGCGAGCGAGCGAGCGAGCGAGCGAGCGAGCGAGCGAGCGAGCGAGCGAGCGAGCGAGCGAGCGAGCGAGCGAGCGAGCGAGCGAGCGAGCGAGCGAGCGAGCGAGCGAGCAGCGCAGCGAGCGAGCGAGCGAGCGAGCGAGCGAGCGAGCCGAGAGAGCGCGAGAGAGAGAGCGAGCGAGCGAGCGAGCGAGCGAGCGAGCGAGCGAGCGAGCGAGCGAGCGAGCGAGCGAGCGAGCGAGCGAGCGAGCGAGCGAGCGAGCGAGCGAGCGAGCGAGGAGCGAGCGAGCGAGCGAGCGAGCGAGCGAGCGAGCGAGAGAGCGAGCGAGCGAGCGAGCGAGCGAGAGCGAGCGAGCGAGCGAGCGAGCGAGCGAGCGAGCGAGCGAGCGAGCGAGCGAGCGAGCGAGCGAGCGAGCGAGCGAGGAGCGAGAGCGAGCGAGCGAGCGAGCGAGCGAGCGAGCGAGCGAGCGAGCGAGCGAGCGAGCGAGCGAGCGAGCGAGCGAGCGAGCGAGCGAGCGAGCGAGAGCGAGCGAGCGAGCGAGCGAGCGAGCGAGCGAGCGAGCGAGCGAGCGAGCGAGCGAGCGAGCGAGCGAGCGAGCGGCAGCGAGCGAGCGAGCGAGCGAGCGAGAGAGCGAGCGAGCGAGCGAGCGAGCGAGCGAGCGAGCGAGCGAGCGAGCGCGAGCGAGCGAGCGAGCGAGCGAGCGAGCGAGCGAGCGAGCGAGAGAGCGAGCGAGCGAGCGAGGAGCGAGCGAGCGAGGAGCGAGCGAGCGAGCGAGCGAGCGAGCGAGCGAGCTATCTATCTATCTATCTATCTATCTATCTATCTATCTATCTATCTATCTATCTATCTATCGATCTATCTATCTATCTATCTATCTATCTATCTATCTATCTATCTATCTATCTATCTATCTATCTATCTATCTATCTATACTTACTCATAAATCTTGGTGTCATTCCCAATTTCACAAATGGCACATAGAATATCAAACCGGCAAATATGAAGAGTAATGCATACAAATATTCAATGCGTGGCGTATCAATAATGGGAGCCACCACCAGATACATTGAGATCACCAGAACCACAACGGGAATGATAATAGGCACTTTATATGGCCTTGGATAGTTGGGTTTGGTGAAACGCATCACAATGAGGGCCAACATCGAGCCACCATAGAAAATCCAAGCGGTAAAACTAAAGAAATCAATTAATGAATCTATGGTACCGTACAAAACCATAGCAGCAGCAATTAAAGACTACAAAGAGAAGAAATAAAAAGAAAATCAAATAAAATATAGAGTCTCTCGAAAGGGAGTAAATAAACATACATGGAATATTAGACCAGGTGCTGGTGTTAGACGACGTACATGCACATAAGATAAAATATCTAGCAAATGACCCTCACGAGATGCAGCAAAGCATAATCTGGAACCAAAAAATGATTTATTATAAATATTAAAAGTATTAATTGTAATCCTTCTTACCTTCCCGCTGCAAACAGTGTACCATTTGCACTGCCAAACGTACTGATCGTTACACTCAATGGCATCAACCAGGCAAGTGCGCCCAAGATACGATTGCCAAATGTTACCGCCACAGCCTCAGATTCAATCATTTCGGTGGGTGACATGGCCGCTAAATAGGAAATATTAATCAAAGCATAACACAAAGTAACCAATGGTATGCCAATTACTATGGAGCGTGGTAAATTCTTGCTCGGATTCTTAATCTCCTCCGTAACATAATTCAAGTTATTCCAGCCATCATAAGCCCAGAGACCCGTATAAAAGGCTGTGGCTATTGCTCCCATGGTGGGTGTAGGTCCACTAAATGCATTTGATAGATGTTGTGTATTGCCCTGAAATAATTTCCAGGCACCACCACATATAACAATTAGAACTGCAACCAATTTGGCTGCGGTAAATATATTTTGAACTGCCATGCCCAAATTAACACTATAACAGTTAACAAACAATATCATCACTAGAGTGGTGGGGGCGGGACAGACAATAATTTGGTGGTCATGGAAATTTGTACAAAACGAAGAGTTTAATATTAGTTATACAATTTGATACACGAAGTACTCAATACTTTACCTATTGCTACTAATGCAACCATTTTAACAACCGACATTGGTGGATCACATTCAGAGACAAATGCCTCCACTGCATACTGTGCAAATGAAAGACAAATTATTGCCATTTGCGATGGCTTTAAAACTAATGTCGATACCCATGAGAATAGAAACGCCGGTGCTGGTCCATACGCGTCCATAAAATATGCCCATTCAGCACCCGACGATGTATTCATTGTACCTAATTCAGCATATGCCAGAGCGCCTACAATAAAAGAAAGAAAAGTGGGAGAGAAATTTAGAATTATCGAAAATTTTTAAAGAATAATAAGATTAGATAAAACTTTTTGATTTCTAACCTATTTTTGGGGAGTTTGATTTATATTAGCGACTTTATAGTTTTAAGGTTAGAATTAATAATATTCTGAAAATTGTAAATGTTGTAATCTATTCAATCAATATATTTTTTTTTTTTAATTGAATCGTAAAATCCCTCTAATACTACCATATAATTACTAAAAGCCTTCAAAATATTGCTTCATTTGATGGCATTTCTGCTTTTATTGAAAAAAAAAAAAATAACATACAGTGGGCAATATTCCAATTTTTAATGATTGAGTTGTTGCTGTCAGAGAGGTGACATCAAACCTTAAAACTTTTAACGTCATTTTATTTTGCTTTCAAATTAATTTTAGAAAAAAAAGGTGGATCCAATAACGATAAAGAAGACAGTACAGTTGGTCAAGTCTAATGAAATTATACCCAAAAACAATTATAGACTTTTTGGCACTTCCCTTGGATACAAAACTTTTAATATTGGTCTTCAGTTTTTAACATGTATAGACTTAGATGAAGACCTCTAGACTAAATTATACGGGCCAATAAAATGTTTAAAAAATTCGAAAATCAGAGACCAAATTTTACTTTTTTAAATAATCGAGCAGAGCTGGGCCCAAATTACGGCATACGATATCGATCGAAATCTCCATTTAGATTCTATTGAGATTTCGATCGATATCGTATGCCTTAATTTGGGCCCTGAATACGAATTTGGCTTCAGAAATTATCCGTCATAAAGTTTGATAAACATTTTTGGCCATATTTGAGGCGCTGTAACAGCTCGGTGATATCATTAATTACAATAATTTTCGAAAACTTTTTTATAAACAAAATGTTCTACTTCAGATCTAGTTTAGTTCAGTTCTATTTCAGTTCTAGTTCAGTTCTAGTTCAGTTAGTTCAGTTCTAGTTCAGTTTAATTCAGTTCTAGTTCAGTTCAAGTTCAGTTCTAGTTCAGTTCTAGTTCAGTTCTAGTTCAGTTCTAGTTCAGTTCTAGTTCAGTTCTAGTTCAGTTCTAGTTCAGTTCTAGTTCAGTTCTAGTTCAGTTCTAGTTCAGTTCTAGTTCAGTTCTAGTTCAGTTCTAGTTCAGTTCTAGTTCAGTTCTAGTTCAGTTCTAGTTCAGTTCTAGTTCAGTTCTAGTTCAGTTCTAGTTCAGTTCTAGTTCAGTTCTAGTTCAGTTCTAGTTCAGTTCTAGTTCAGTTCTAGTTCAGTTCTAGTTCAGTTCTAGTTCAGTTCTAGTTCAGTTCTAGTTCAGTTCTAGTTCAGTTCTAGTTCAGTTCTAGTTCAGTTCTAGTTCAGTTCTAGTTCAGTTCTAGTTCAGTTCTAGTTCAGTTCTAGTTCAGTTCTAGTTCAGTTCTAGTTCAGTTCTAGTTCAGTTCTAGTTCAGTTCTAGTTCAGTTCTAGTTCAGTCTAGTTCAGTTCTAGTTCAGTTCTAGTTCAGTTTTAGTTCAGTTTTAGTTCAGTTCTAGTTCAGTTCTAGTTCAGTTCTAGTTCAGTTCTAGTTCAGTTCTAGTTCAGTTCTAGTTCAGTTCTAGTTCAGTTCTAGTTCAGTTCTAGTTCACTTCTAGTTCAGTTCTAGTTCAGTTCTAGTTCAGTTCTAGTCAGTCTAGTTCAGTTCTAGTTCAGTTCTAGTTCAGTTCTAGTTCAGTTCTAGTTCAGTTCTAGTTCAGTTCTAGTTCAGTTCTAGTTCAGTTCTAGTTCAGTTCTAGTTCAGTTCTAGTTCAGTTCTAGTTCAGTTCTAGTTCAGTTCTAGTTCAGTTCTAGTTCAGTTCTAGTTCAGTTCTAGTTTCAGTTCTAGTTCAGTTCTAGTTCAGTTCTAGTTCAGTTCTAGTTCAGTTCTAGTTCAGTTCTAGTTCAGTTCTAGTTCAGTTCTAGTTCAGTTCTAGTTCAGTTCTAGTTCAGTTCTAGTTCAGTTCTAGTTCAGTTCTAGTTCAGTTCTAGTTCTAGTTCAGTTCTAGTTCAGTTCTAGTTCAGTTCTAGTTCAGTTCTAGTACAGTTCTAGTTCAGTTCTAGTTCAGTTCTAGTTCAGTTCTAGTTCAGTTCTAGTTCAGTTCTAGTTCAGTTCTAGTTCAGTTCTAGTTCAGTTCTAGCTCAGTTCTAGTTCAGTTCTAGTTCAGTTCTAGTTCAGTTCTAGTTCAGTTCTAGTTCAGTTCTACTTCAGTCCAAAACCAAAAATGATATATTTATATTCTGCCCGGTTATAATACCAGAAAATCGATGATGTCCTTATTAGGACTTCACTGGACAATGTCTCTACGGTAGGGATAGTTGGCACTAAAACTGGTGGGACATATACATACATCCTGAAAATATTGGAATTTCATTAACCGCAGAAGTAATAAAACTGCCAAGAGGCCAATCGATCAAGCAAATTTTTAATGTTGATTAAGTATGTCTGGTTCCGAACCGACGAGTGGTGCGGCTGTTTATGTTAAAATCTTTTAAAAAACAAAAAAATTAGAACGCTTTTATTTGTGTTTAAGAAATTCAATATCGTAAGAAGTTGGTTTTAATATTGTAAGAAGTCTGATCGAAGAAGTAAAGAATTACATTAAACACTCATCGAAAGAAGGCGGGTCGTATATATCTGGAATATCTTAAAAGATAGACATTTTGAACTCAACATTCGAAAATAAGATTGCTGCAGGAATGTTTATCTAGATCTTCAATTGCTTTAAAATTGAGATCGTCACAATCAATGTAGTCTTCATTCAGTATATATTCAGACTGGTTTGAGGGGTACAGTTTTAAGCGAAAACAAGTGACAATAAGCCCTTTTTAAATTCATTAATGCCAGTCTTGAGAACATCTCTTAATAGATCTGAATAAATGAAATTCCAAAGTATAATACATTTAACAGTAAACCACTCTCGGAAAACTTTTCTATTATCTTAAACCAAATGACTACGTGCAAGAATTCAAATAATAGAAGAAATAAATGAAATTTTCTAAAAATATCTATCATAAATCGCCATAAATACTACCTACTCTACTATAAAATAATAATAAATGTTTACATTCAATAGAAATCCTTCAACAACACTTGAACTTGGCAACAAATAAAAAAAAAAAAAACGAAAATAAATAATTTAATTTAAATAAAATAGAAAAACTTTTAAATTTACAAGTAGTATATAAAACTATCTCTAATATGAACATTTCATTACTACATGATTAAATTGTTTTTGTTTTAAAATTTATAAAAAACAAACACGAAACGAAAATAAATCAAAATTTAAAGAAAAACCACGTGAAAAAGTAAAATATAAATGAAATAAGAAAATAAAATCGAAAAAGAGCAATTAATAAAAAAACAAAATCGGAACTCTCCCATTCAAATGGCCTTAACATGATTTTTGTTTGTTTTTGAAATATATTTTTCTTTTGTAGTTTTGTATATTGACCGAACTTTCAATTTCTGTGTTTAGCTTTTATAACAATTGTAGTTTATATGTAGATGTAGCAGACAGATAGATACATGTTTTATTAGACATTTAAAGAAAATGGTATAAAAAACTATTGAATGCATTTAAGATTTTCAATGAAATGATGCTTTAAATACTATAAACAATAAAGATTTATTGCTGCTGCAAAACTTATAAAAATGCATACAAAACTACTAAAGAATACATTCTTTTAGGAACTTTTTTTATTGAAAATTTATCTTTTTATAGAAAATGTTTTTTTTTTATTAAATTTGAGTTCTAGTTTAGTTCTACTTCAGTTTTAGTTCAGCTCTAGATCAGTTCTAGTTCAGTTCAGTTCTAGTTCAGTTCTAGTTCAGTTCTAGTTCAGTTCTAGTTCAGTTCTAGTTCAGTTCTAGTTCAGTTCTAGTTCAGTTCTAGTTCATTCTAGTTCAGTTCTAGTTCAGTTCTAGTTCAGTTCTAGTTCAGTTCTAGTTCAGTTCTAGTTCAGTTCTAGTTCAGTTCTAGTTCAGTTCTAGTTCAGTCTAGTTCAGTTCTAGTTCAGTCAGTTCTAGTTCAGTTCTTCCTTCAGTTCTAGTTCAGTTTCTAGTTTTAGTTCAGTTCTAGTTCAGTTCTAGTTCTAGTTCTGTTCATTCAGTTCTAGTTCAGTTCTAGTCAGTTCTAGTTCAGTTCTAGTTCAGTTCTAGTTCAGTTCTAGTTCAGTTCTAGTTCAGTTCTAGTTCAGTTCTAGTTCAGTTCTAGTTCAGTTCTAGTTCAGTTCTAGTTCAGTTTCTAGTTCAGTTCTAGTTCAGTTCTAGTTCAGTTCTAGTTCAGTTCTAGTTCAGTTCTAGTTCAGTTCTAGTTCAGTTCTAGTTCAGTTCTAGTTCAGTTCTAGTTCAGCTCTAGTTCAGTTCTAGTTCAGTTCTAGTTCAGTTCTAGTTCAGTTCTAGTTCAGTTCTAGTTCAGTTCTAGTTCAGTTCTTCTAGTTCAGTTCTAGTTCAGTTCTAGTTCAGTTCAAGTTCAGTTCAAGTTCAGTTCAAGTTCAGTTCTAGTTCAGTTCTAGTTCAGTTCTAGTTCAGTTCTTGTTCAGTTCTAGTTCAGTTCTAGTTCAGTTCTAGTTCAGTTCTAGTTCAGTTCTAGTTCAGTTCTAGTTCAGTTCTAGTTCAGTTCTAGTTCAGTTCTAGTTCAGTTCTAGTTCAGTTCTAGTTCAGTTCTAGTTCAGTTCTAGTTCAGTTCTAGTTCAGTTCTAGTTCAGTTCTATTTCAGTTCTAGTTCAGTTCTAGTTCAGTTCTAGTTCAGTTCTAGTTCAGTTCTAGTTCAGTTCTAGTTCAGTTCTAGTTCAGTTCTAGTTCAGTTCTAGTTCAGTTCTAATTCAGTTCTAGTTCAGTTCTAGTTCAGTTCTAGTTCAGTTCTAGTTCAGTTCTTTTAAAAAACAAAAAAATTAGAACGCTTTTATTTGTGTTTAAGAAATTCAATATCGTAAGAAGTTGGTTTTAATATTGTAAGAAGTCTGATCGAAGAA